CTTATATATAATTTAAGAAAAAGAAGTTTTTATACTAAGAAATAATGGCTTAAAGCTTTCTTATTGGGAAAAATTCCAGCCTTTGTGCTCATATCCCAGTTATTATAGTAAAGACTTCCAAATGGGAAATATTTTAGAAGAGAGCTGCACGTGGGTGATAAAGGTATCATGCTTTTTTTTTTTAATGCAATGGTAAGCTTTTACTTTGGGAAGGTATTTTATAAAGTTCTGAATGATCTAGTATAATAGACAAGCCCTACTTGTAACATTTATACAACATATATAAAAAAAAACAAAGGATACTTAAAAAAAGATTCAAGGAACTATATAACAATACCATTGCAAGCAGGCATTTGTTGTCCCACAACTATTTAAAAATAGAGTTGAGGTGGAGGCATCAGGGTCTTTAATATATGGCAATAGAATAAGGAACAGGTTAAGAAGGACTTTGAAAGATTTTAGAAACTTACAAGCATGCTAGTTAACTGCAAAATTGTATTAGTTATTCCACCTGACTTTTGTGGAAGAGATGTATCTAGGAAAGATATGTGAACTGATATAGATACAGCTCTGAGCACTAGCCAACACAAGGTGATGGCTCTTGGCATGGTATTTGCTATTATGACAGCTGGAATATTTATTTTTGGTGATTTTATTAAAATACTGACAGAAATAAATTTTATCAGCAATGACAGAAATGCAAGGAAGATTGTGGAGTAAGATCTGGGTGTGTGAGAGGAAGATAAAAAAAGACATGACAAAATCTAACATCAGCATCATCTGTGATACGTACGAGAGAAGCTTAAAAAAGATAAGAAGAAAACTGATGATGGGGGTGACAGAAGACGCTCCTCTCCAGGACAATGATGGAACAGTAATTATAGACAAAGATGACATGTGATGGAGAGTTTTACCCTCAAACGCTACAGGAATGGATCTAGGCAAACATGTATCAACATATTCTATGATAGCAGGAATGGGAAATGAAATGAAAGGTGAAATACATCTTCCAACTGAGCAATAACATCATCCTTGTGGTATCAGAAACAAGATGGGAGCCTAACAACAGCAGATAAACTAACAAATGTGTCCCTAGTAGAGAGACAAAAAGAGCAACCCTAAGACAGAAAGAACCTTGTCCCAGCAATGCATTGTCACGATTTATAAGAAAGCTGTCAAAGGACATGTCATGTAATTTAGGGTTGGGCCTAGAAGGGGCTTCTTTCATGGTGACCTACTGAAACCCTTCTAGACTATCAAAAGACCAGAGGTCTAGATGCTGCCACCAATGAGCCTTAGAAGTGGTATTTGTCTCAGTTTGTACTATGTATATTTAAGAGTGCCCATCTTAGGTTCTATGTGCCATAAAACAAAAGACTGTCACATTAAAAATTCAAACCACCGCAGCTCCTCCCCACAGAACCAGAAATAATGAACAGTTGTTGAAATCAAAACCCCTTCCCACCCTTTCTGCCACAAAGACTGGATAAAGATCAGCCATATGAGTGCCTTTGACCACAGTTACAAAGCTGAAGGCCTCTCATGGAGAATGCCCTGTTGGCAGCGTCCTCTCTTTTAAACTGAGGGGGCTTGAACTTCTCCAATGACCACTCTCTGGCCTTGTGGAATTGCAGGGAGTGGGAGAAGTGGTCAAGCATAAGAGTTTCAAATGTTGTGAGGTGTGATCTGAGCCATTACCAGTCATGTTTTTATTCTGAACAGTAATTATGGCTGGAAGTGAGACCAGTGAAGTCAAGAGCCTATTAGACACCATATGGTTATAGTGCCCTAACACTGGCTCTTGCCACAGGGACAGTCTGTTTTAAAAAAAAAATCACACTTTGCCCTGCTTTACTACCGCAATGCAAAAATAGTTCATTTTGTTCAAAGCAGAAGTAAAGCAAAGCATGGACACTGCCTTCCACTTTCACTAAGAGATAGGAGACGGTCCCAATTAAGACACACTGCAGCTTTAATGTGAGACTCTATGCTCCCAGGGGTTGCTCTTGCAGGAGTAGTTTCACCCAAGGATGGAGCAATTAAGTTATTAAATAATGTTCCATTTCAAGCACTACAGAAAAAGTCATAATTTTAATTAGGATAATCAACAAACACATTCATGCCCTAGACTAGCTGTAAGATATTCACGTTCCATTAAAACATTTCTAGTTCACTAGGATATGACTTTTTATTATTGTGCCTACATTGTCCTGTGGAGAATAATTTCCACACAAAAAATTTCCACACACAAAAAATGCCAGGAACTTTTATTATTTATATCACAGTCTCACCTATGGGACCAGATTAGGACCCCATTGTGCTCGGTTATACACAAACTTGTAACAACACTGTCTTTATATCTGTACAAATCTAGCCAACAAGCTCATAGCAGATTGTAAATGCCCACCCATCACTGTGTCACTCTGAGTCCTTCATTACACCATTTTAGATACTCTCTATGAAAAAATAACCGTCCCATCATCAGCTCCCTATCATTTACATATAAGACACTGTCAAAGAGTTAGATGAGACAGCTGTCAAAGAGACAGGAAATGCTATAGAAATGCTTGTCCTGTTCACACACACTTACTACTCATGAACTATGAGAACTGATAAAAGATCAAAAGCATATAAACTAGGCAAATTAGTGAAAATGAACTCAAACACTGTGATCATGCTCAAGCATGCAAAAAATGAAACAGAAAAATTAGTATGGAATACAGAACTTCAGACAGATGTTCAAGTAGAAACAAGAGGAAATAAGTCAGGAGGCAAACCATGCAAAGTTGGCTTGAGAACATTCACGAATATGAGAAAAACTGTAAAGAACAATTTCCCATTTAGCCTGAAGCAGAATTAGGGCCTGATTTTGATTCCATTGAAGACATTAGTTCAATCAGCTTCACTGGGAGCCCCATCTGGCTACCCGAGTTAACAACTCAGAAACCCGTTTTCTGTATCCAAAACAAACAAAAAAACCCAAACCCAGAAATTTGCCATCAGAGGAATACATGTTCCAATCCTGCCCCTGTTGAAGTTCATTACAAAATGCCCATTGACTTCAGTACTGCTGGCTCATGCCCACAACATATTATATATTGGCTAAGGCTGCACTTTTCTCTGTGGTCGCTTGTGATTTTTTTTTCATGCTTTAAAAGAAAAATATTTATGAGTTTAACATATTGGGATTCTTAAACATGCAAATTATGGTGTGATCATAAACAGATGAACAAATGTCTGTGATGGCCTTGGGGGCTGCCGTGTTTAGTGGCAAACCTGTTGTGACTAAGCCCCCCCCCCCCCATCAATCAGAGGATTCTCAATCAGACTTTTAATCCCCCAAAATGTCATGCAGTTCTTTGGCCTACCCCACATTGAAATCAATGGACGTTAGGAGCCTAAATACTTTGGAGTATCGGGGCCTTCCTGCATGAGTGAAGCAAGCAGAATTTGACAGCCTTGGGTGGAAGTGAGCATTAAACTGTATGGGATATTTATCCAACAGTGGACTGATAGATATTGCTGCCAATGGTGGCACTGATGCAGATGAGTAGTACTGCATACCATGATTACAAGGAATACTTAGCAGAAGAACCAGTGTTTTGTCTGATATTTATTGTGGGATTGAATTAACTGCTAAACCAGCATCGCAATAGGGAAAAAAAAACCCTTTAAAACGTAAATTAACAGATTGTGTGTTTCACTGCAGCATGCGTGGTCCTGAGAGTTACCCTCAAAAACCAATCAGCCGCCACCGTCGCTGGCATTGACTTGTGAGTCTCAGCAGAGAGGACAAGGAACAAATATGGATGAAGCTCAAACCACCTTCTCACCTCGCTAGGGTGTGGGCCCTGCAGAAAAAAGTTGAGACACATTCCCAGAGTGGTGGCAGAAAAGTTGTGTAATCATTGTCCATGCAGTAATTATCATGGATAGGACTTCAGCCACCTGGGTTTAAAGTCTGATGCATTACATCTACTGACTCCTATGACATCTTTACAGGGCAGAGGGTATTGTCCAGGGTTCTCCGCTCAGGGTCTCATTCTGAAACCCTTGCTTTGACCAAAGGCCTTCCCCCTCCCCTTCTTTTTATTCATTCTTTGTTCCCTGTATTTAAGTTGATTCCATGGGGGCGTGTTTGGTCCTTCCCCACTGTTGAAGGGGGCACTCTTTGTTCTTCCTATAGACAGAGCCCCCCCTTCAAGACACTGTCCATGGTTCTCTGCTCAGTGTATCCTTCTGGTTCCCCTTTAATGCCCCTTCATTTGTTCTCTATATTTGGGGAAATGTCTTTCACTGATAACTCAGGCTCTTATGTGTGTGTTGCCCCTAACCCCTATCCCATTCACACAAAAACCTCTGACCCAAATTTGGTGGTGCATTCAACCCACGCTAGCTGGCTTGTCTGGGGCTCTAGGCTGAAGTCTGAGTGAGGCTTTGCACTTTGCAATGAGGACACATGCTAATCCACTCAGGTGCTGATTGTCCTCCATTGCCTTCCCACAATTCTCCCTGTATGTCCAGTCAGACAAGTTCTTCCACAATTCCCTGGGAAAGCATCCTAGAGCAGCTCAGCTTACTGTAGCACAAAAAACCATGGCATAGTCCCCCCGAAAATTTTAGCAACACACACACAAGAGTGCAGTCCTAGTGAGGACACAGTAACTCAAGTATGGTTTTGCAGTGTAGCAGCTCACATCAAGGCTAGGCTAACCCTGGTGCTCGGACCTGGGTGCCAATCACCCAAGTGAATGCTGCAGTTAAGACACATCCTTAATTGTTACCTGCCTCTTTGTAGTCTCTACTATCTCATGAGTGGAAGCCATGGCTGTTTTTGTAGGAAGGACTTTTCAGAGGTCTCACCCCTCATGCAAAAATTTCACACACTGATCCTTCATCACCACTAATTCAAATAGCGTTTTAAAAATATTTAAAATAAATAATTGAACAAGTCATGAAAATAATTGTTCAGTGTATTTTCCCTCTCCACTGGATTGCAAAATCATCCGGAATAATGTTACCATCTCCTTAAAGTGAATCCACTTAGAGAAAATTCAGACATACTTAACTGTCTTCACAGTGGAATGGAATGAAAAGCCATGAGTTGTTTCAGAGGACTGCAGTGTGCAAAGTGAGATTCCAGAGATCCACCACATAAAATGGAATTGTTCTAAGAAAGAAAGAAAGAAAATCTATTCTCTCAAAGAGGATTCTGCTTTATTTTGATGAAATATATTTTTTTATGTAACAATATAAGAAGTCTGGATGTTTTGTTACATATTTAAAAATAAATTTCTGAAATTGTCTTTACTCCATTTTTTTAAAATCATGAATTTTATGATGCTATATCATAACATAAAGTACACCTCATTATAGCATACTGATGCATGTACAGCTACACGTAGACAGCCTTATTACAGAGAAGCACTATTTACATTAATTAGAAGGAATTTAAAAAAAAATGTAATGTAAACAAACTGTTTTGAACTGAATGTGCCTCTCTGAACCTACTTTCTTGTTATGTCAAGAAATTATTTGCAGTAACCTTGTCATTAGTCAGTTATGTTTATGATATTAGATACATATGATGGCAATTAAAGGCAGAACCTCAGCAGATCCTGGTAGTATATTCAGGCATTACTACAGCTATTTTCAGCAGAGTTACACTTACTGCATCAAAGAATGTCATAGAGAAAAGAAAATATGGTAACTGTTGCTTTAAATTATAGCTATCATTACTTCAAAAGGATATTCAATCAGAAACCACTGCAGATTAAAACTATTTACTTTTTCTGACGCTGAAAGGAAAAGTAGGCAGTTTCAGCCTGTCATCTCTTAATTTTCTTGAATGAAAAAAAAAAGCCGTTTGGTCTAAGAAAAGTCAGTTGGGAATTACCAGAAGGAATATGCTGAAATAGCTCTCCTGCTTTATTTTGACCTTTCCATGCCTGTCAGCCTCCGCAAGTGTCCCAGGTTCCTTGCAGGTTATTTTGCAGAGACAACTGGAAAAAAAGTCATGTTACTGTTTTGGCTACTTTAACATCGTGTATGCACAGCAATTTAACAACAGGTGGAGTCCTTCTTACTCACACAGACATGTTTTCTTCCTAAGATGAGAAGGTAAAATAAATAAGGTTATGGTCTTCTGAAGAGTAAATTCCAAGTCAAAGCATAGGCTCATGTACAAATTAGCTGGAGGGATCAGAGACTTTTTCTAGTAACAGGAAAATACCATCTACCAAAAGTTTAAGCAAGGGAGTTCCTAGTCTAGTGTTCTATTCAATGCAATGTTTGTTTAGGTAGGTGTTGGCCGTGGGAAGGTCTGCACAATTCGCAGAAGCTAATCTTAAATAAAGTAATAGCAATTTTACTTATACAGGTATATCCTTTCTGCCCTTTCCCCTTGCCAACATGCTTAGGATGCTGAGCAAACAGTTAAGCTACAAGAATATTAAAGTATCATAAAAAGGAGAAAAGAAAATTTAAAAAAGCTAATTTAAAAGTGCAACATTGTTTAAAAAGGGTGAGGGGGGAGCAGTATCCTACATAGTTGCAAACAGTGACCACTTTAAAACTAGAGAAAAACATTCACCACTGCAGGCAAGAAACATGTAGCACAAGTCAGGAATTAGGAGTTGAGTGTGGGTGTGACGGTGGCCCCCAGAGAATCTATGTCCAGCGCAGACTTTGTGAGGTTAGGCAGTACAGTATGAAAACTCATACAGTTTAGAGGTGATCAATAAAGCTCATACCATAAGAAGGAAACTTGGTAAGCTCATAATGTGCTGATTGAATAAATAATAATGTATAGTTTAATCTAAGAGTGTGCTTATAGCACAGGTATGGAAGCAGATTTGAAAGGCAAGAGTTGATGGGTTGAGATTAGGCATCAAGGGTGTTTATGCCAATTTCAAAGGTGGAATGTTTCTTCTGAACATTTTTGCTTGTAACCAGGTGGCTCTGAAGCCACAAACATCTCATGACTCATTCTTATTATTTTTTTATGTGCATTGGAAGTGATATCAGCCTTGCAAACATTTGCCTGTTCAAACCTCTCCAATGCCAGACATTTGTTATTCTTGGTCCCAGTGAAGCCGTTTTAAGGCCCAAATCAGTCCCTAAGTACATAGATCCAAAACCCGGACAAGAGATAAGGAGAGGGAAAGAACCTTTCCACTATGGCATCCTAACTGCCTCATTCCAAATCACCTTTGGCGTTCAGGGAGCTTCAGTGGAGTTGGGTTTTCTGATATGCAGAAGATGTGCACCCTACACTGGGTCTCAGAGTCCTGTCCTCCAGTAGGAGCAGTGGAACCAGACTGATTCTCCTGTGAGAGGATCCTCTTCACCCATGGTGGTGTAAGGAGGGGGAGACAGACTTTACCCTGAACTGACAATCATGAGCACATGTGCGTATACAACAGTGTACCATCAACTCTTATATTCTCATCTCACCCTTTTAAAAGCATCCTTGTTAAAAAGTTTAAGCACAAAGAATTGAGTCCTTTTCGTTGCTGGAATTTCTGCCATATTCTAAATGTTAATTATTTAAAAGCAATTTACCATTTTCCCACTGTTTTTTTAAAAGACTCCACCCAGAAGCAAAGTTTTGTGCTGTCTTGCCCCCCGCCCTCTAATTCTGCAGCATCAGTTAACTAATAGATAGCCACCTTCTTTTTACTGTATCAGTGGTCCGACTGGGATTCTAGAGCAGAGTTTTGCCTAAGCAAGGATTGGGCCCATATCTGGATTGGGCCCAAATACTTTTCCCAGGGCAGTGTGCATGTCAGTTAGTAACATCAAACAATACTAAGCCATGTCATTTTGTCTCTTGCATAAGTAAGAGAGTGAGAGTGAGGGAAAGCGTGAATGTTTCCCATAAGTGGATAAAAATATTGTTGAGCTCCTCAAAGGACATTGAAAACGTAATGAAGAGATAATAGAATATTACATTTAAAACAGAGATTCAAGATTAAAACTGAGAGAACATCTAACCAGTGAAGTGGTGAAGAGAATATCAAAATTTGCCTGAATGTTTTACCCCAGGGGGAACACTGTACTTTCTTTATGCCCTAACTACTCAGTTACAATAGAATCAGTCTCATTGGTGACAAAGATGCAGCAAGATTGTTAGCACTTCACACTAGACAGTCCATATGATAAGTCATGTAGAATGTAAAAGGTTGCTGACATTTTCCGTTATGTGTCTTTTCATTAAAGGTAACTACCACTTTAAGCAAATTGTTTCAGGGACTGGAATGTAGCAGTAGTGATCTAATTAGTGTAGGCTGTAATTTAGGAGGGTTCATTATGTCACAGACATTATGACTCCTGGGTATTACTAAAGGACTCATTTGTAGTACTTGAAATGAATTTCTCATGAACACATATAATGTCACCCATATAACTAGTATGTAGCTTTAAGATGATTTGGTATATTTAAAATCTCTGGTTTTGTTGGGGATTAAGTTTCCAGACCGTAATAAACAAATCAGCAAATAGCAGAGATTTACTTCTTGCTAAGAAAGAAAAAAAAAGTGGGGGGAGGGGGCTAATAGCCATTTCAGATTGAAACAGCAAGTGAACGCTGACAAAATTACAAAGGAAGCTAATAAATCATTTAAGGGGAAATATTTACAGTAATTAAACTAAAACTCACACACACCACAACAGGACAAAGACTTTTGTAATTTTGGGTACTTTACCTATTGGCTTCAACCAACATAGCAGAAGTTTAGTGGTTCCTTAAGAGAAGCTGGTTTTATTTATTATTTCTTTTCCTAAAAGCCCCCACGAGCCCTACTTTAATAAAAAGGCAAGTTACAGACGTACAGGTAAAATTACAACTGTATAAAATACATGAGACAAATATATAAAGATGCCTTTTAGTGCAACTAGTTTCAGTGGCAACGTAGTTGAAATAGAAGCTGCTTTGTAATTAGGTTTAAATTGCTAAACTGAAAAGCTATTAAATATACAATCTCTAGTCTTATTTTTATATTATTTACTTTTCCTTTGGGGGCAGAGGGGTTTCTTACCAGTTCAGACATCCACTGCTTTTAGGAGAGAGTAGAAAATGTATTCTCCCACTAATGTTACTGCTTTATCCATTAGTCACTTACACCCTGATTCAGAAAAGCACCTAAGCATGTGCTTAACTTTAACCAGGGATTTAGCCCCTGATCCTGCATCCTTTGAAGTCAATGGCAAAGATCCCATAGATGTCAGTCATGTAGGCTCAGGGCCTTAGGGACCAATCCTGCACTATTAAAATCAATGGAAGTTTTGCCATTGACTTCAATAGCCTCTAAGGGTAGGTCTACACAGCACACCCGCCCTGCCTACACTTCAGCACCTGAGCCGCAACTTCAAAGCAGTGTCTACACAGCTATTTTTATGGTCACTAGTCCAAACACTAGCCCGAGTCTGTCGACCAAGGCTGGGAGGCGTGCTCTAAAATGCTGACAGATATACCATAAGGGACCCTATTCTGATCCCACTGATCTAAAGTTAATTAAAATCAATGGGAGTTTTTCCATTTACTTCAATGGGATTTGAATCAGGCCTTCAATGGCAAAACTCCTGTGTGTTTTCCTACTGTCTTCCAAAAAAACCCCAATTTTAGCAAATGAATAAAATAACCCAAATAATTAAGCAAAATATTGAAAAGAATGCCAATATTCAAAAGATAGTATTGCTCAGTCTTAAATGTGTCTACCCAGTTGTGCATTTTCAGGCTCTCATGAAAACAATGCAGAAGCTGAACTGTTTTATTGAACCTTTTCTCTTTCCATTATTGTTCAATTAATTTAAGATGATTTTGTCAGGCATAACTGAAAGAGTTTTCTAAGACTACCAGAACTTTTTGGACATTAAATTTCTAACAGGAAATAGGTGGCTTAGAAAAATCTCAGCCATAGATTTCATTTCAGCATGTTGTTAGATTTCAGTTCCCTTACAAGTCTATGAAAACTTCTTTCATATTGTCAAGTTATTGTTACCTTGGTTGAAATAAATTAGCTATCGAATGCACCTTTTAGATTGGTTATTACTACTGCTGGTTCCCTTTTTGGCTCTTACAGTTATTTTTTATATTTCTAAAAGAGTACAAAGAAACCAATTTTTTAAAAATACAATCAGAACATTTTTTCTAAAATTAAGTTTTGACAGGAGTTCCTTATGCCCACTATGTCCACTGTGCCCATATGTGAAAAAGTGTCATTAAACCATGCTCTCATACAGGCAGTACTCAGCATCCCTGTATCTGAGATGCTGTAGCACTGCATCCTAAAGAATGCTAGTTTCTCATATCTTTCATTATTGAGGTTCTTGTAACATGTTAGCAACCTTATTCTGTATTCAAGAAACATGAACCAAGCAATTGTCCAGGGGTGCAGTGGGTTTCTAAAAGTCCATTCATCTGATTAATAATTGGTCTGCTGACAACTTAAGTGTCTCAGTGCTGTTAAAACCAAGTATATTTTTAACATATCTGACTTCTTTCTATTATCTGTCATCTCATATGAAAAGATGGGCAAGTAAAAGGTTGATAATTGTAAGTGTGTAGAAGCATCTATATCATTAACTTATTCCTTTTACACTAGCACTTGGTTTCTCATATTCAGAAATCTGTTCAAATAACATATGCAATTCACTAACTCCTTATTTTGGTGCTTTCCTTATATAATGTCCCTAAGTTGCACCGTTCTATACTGAGGTATAATTTCCAATATCAACAAAGACCATCGACTTGCAGATATATGTTTAAAAATTGTGCTGCTGACTTTCATTTAAATGTATATGACTAAGTGGGCAGGGCACTGGCCTGCAACTAAGGAGACCTGCTTTATAACCCATGCTCTGCCACTGACCAGCTGTGTGACCTTGGACAAGTCACCTCGCCTCGTGTCCATTTGCTCTTCAGAGTAGGGATTATCTTTTGCTATGTATTTGTACAGTGCCTAGCACAATCTCAGGTGGTGCCTCTAGGTGTAACTGTAAT